TGAAGGAGAGAAGAAAGAAGAGAAAGTGATAAAGAAACCAAATAGAAGGAGGAGAAGAAAGAGAAGAGAGAGAAAGAAAAATAAAGAGGAAAAAGGTGGGACAAGAAGAAAAAAAACACAAAAGTGAAAAAAAAAATGTAAGGAGACGAAAGCAGAAGGAGGAGGAGAAACAAGCAGAGAAAGAAGAGTAAGAAAAAGACGCGAAGGAGAGAGCAAGGAGCGAGGCGAGCGAGGCGGGGGCGTGTCGGCCGCTTTCTGGGAAGCATCTCAATAATTTCTCTCAGAGTTCGCAGGAAAACCCGTCGCCGCCACGATTACGTTTGCGAGAATGTTCGAGAGGCTTTTTTCGGCTTGTCCATCACGCCGATTAAGCGCTTAACCTAATTGTTTTGATTTCTTGTCTCGTTCGAGGGGCTGTCGCCGACGCTGAGGCTGCGCTGATTGTGCAGCGTGTACATGTTCGCACACCCACACACACGCGTGTCTGTGTGTGGGTGTGTGTGAGAGACAGTTAAAGACAGAAGAAAGAGAGAGTGTGTGTGTATATAGATATATATATATATATGTATGTATATATATATATATATATATATATATATATATATATATATATATATATATATATATATATATATATATATATATATATATATATAGAGAGAGAGAGAGAGAGAGAGAGAGAGAGAGAGAGAGAGAGAGAGAGAGAGAGAGAGAGAGAGAGAGAGAATGTATAATGCTTGTATGTAAAAGAAAAAAGAAATAAACTTTCCACTTAATGACCATGAGCTACAGCAAATGCACGACTGACCAAGCTGCAAATCCACACGACCCCTCCCCCCCAAAAAAAAAAAAAAAAAAAAAACTCTAATAAAGGGTATTCACCTTCCCGGTAAAACACGAAACGCCTCCCATCTGCAAAGGAAAATAAACTGGGTGCACGAAGAGCGGCCGCTGAAGAGGGTTAAGGGTTCTAAGACCACAATTAGCCGGGGGAAGATAAGGAGATCCTCCCAGTGCAAGCCTTTGTGCCGAAACCCGGGCATTTCAAATTACCCGCCCAGCCTAATGGCGACACGCGGCGACTTAGCCCGTATGTCGTTGGTCATTTTGTTTTAAGGAGAACGTTTTTTTGTTTTTCTTCGATTTTTTCAGTTATGGTATGAAGGATGGACTATAACAAAATTAAGCACTATCCGGCAAAACAACCATGCACCACACATAAATTTACCTATATACATACTCAAACACACACACACACACACACACACACACACACACACACACACACACACACACACACACATATATATATATATATATATATATATATATATATATATATATATATATATTATATATATATATATATATATATACGTCGAGATTGTTATTCATTCGATATTTAAAAGAAGCGTTGGGTTTAACTGTAAAGCTACTCCACTGAAACATTTGTTTACGTATTTTTTATTTTTTAAAAGGCATATCGATATGACAAAATTTAGTTTTAACAAATAGAGTAAATTATGATGATTATTTATGAATGATTTGTCTAAATGGTAGCAGTTCAATTGGGGGAGGGGGAGGGGGGGGGGGGAGCAAAAACTCGGCTTCCACCCAAACGCAGGTATGTCGAGTGCTGGTATTAAATATCGTGTTTTACCCAGATATTGGAAGATGTAACACTTGACAGGCGAATCAATACCAGTGTGAATGTTTATGTTTTGCATTTTGATGATTTAGACAAAACTTTACTTCCACTCCAAATACTGAGAAGAAAAGGTTGAGAAGATGTGACGAAAAAAACACGCCATGATGCTTTGTTGTTAGGGAACATTTTAGTTATTTAGATGTTTTTCTGACCTGTGTATACAGCAACGAAATCAGTCATTGGTAACAGTTCCGGTGGTATCAAGGAATAGCTTGAGAATGGAATCACTTATTTGAATAAAATGCAAGAGAGGAAAATTATAAAGATTAAAAAGGGAAGGGAATGATAAAAGTGAAATCATGGAAAGATGTTGGTAGAATGGGTTTGAGGGTCTCGATTCCACCTTACATATGTTCTTATTTTGTTTATGTTAATGATTATTAATTCATGATTAGTAGGAAAAGGAAGGGTATAAACTTAACTTTAGATATGAGTTCAGTTAGTAGAGAAATTTGCTTTTTTACTTTATTTATTGCTAAGATTTGCAATATAATATGCCACTTGTTTATTATTTGTTTATAGAATAAAATAAAAAGTTAATGATCAAAAATGTTTCAGTTTCCAATGTATATTTAGCACACAAAAGAGGAAATGATTTAACCCATCCCACGAGCCTTAAGACCGTTAAAGCCAATCTACCCAGATTAATATTAGGTAAGTCTAAATTGAGGTTTTGCTCTAAATCCAAGTCCCTAGTAGTGGCCGCACTAATGGAGATTAATAACGTTGATTAAAATTCATGGTCATGTCGTGGGAGGGAACTTTTGAAATAATTGTAAACGAAATACGACTCTGATAATTTCCCCAACATATGGCATTTCATATACGAATTATTAAGATACATTCTACAGTAAATTGAACTAAAATGTATCTTAATGATTCGTATATGATTTTTTCTTATATAACATATATATATTTATATTTATATATATACAATATATATATATATATATATATATATATATATATATATATATATATATATATATATATATATATATATATATATATGTATATATATGTATATATATATATATATATATA